TTAGAAAAGGAAAAGCAGGAGGCATAAAAAAGGCTTTACAGGTGTCAAGACTCCAATGACATCATGACCACGAAGAGGGTGACGGTTCAGTGGCAGACAAGGAACAGTCAGAGGGGAGCGGGGTGAGGCAGACGCTGCAGAGGTGACATTGTATATGGGGGAAAGAGGCCTGGGATGAAGGCTAACCTCATCAATAAAAATTGATGAACATTAATCAGATTACTTAAACACCCCGTGTGTTCATCAGAACTCCAAAACCTTTCACACATACAAGGTGTAACTATGACAAGGAACTGCTTAAACAAACTGAAAAAGCAAAACCCTAGGAGGAAATTATTGGTAACTGTAACTGCATAAAAGTTTCATTTATTTTAATTCAACAAAAGCACCATGAAAAAAGAAGTGTCTCAGAAAATAATGCAAAAACAAAAATAGTTGGTTCCCAGGCCATGTATACACATATATCATAATAAAATCATTTAAATAAACATGGAATAGAGAAGGAAACACACGAATATGCAACTTACAGAAAACATGCAAATGATGAACACTGAAATGTGGTTAAATTCAGAAATGATCAAGAAATAACACATTCGAGTCTAACTTAGATACTTTTCAGTTATTAAAACTTTCAAATTAATAGTATCAACCATAGACAGAATCACAGGAAAATGAGAATGACTCAGACTATAGATCTCAAGAACTTTGGCACACAGCAGCAACTTCCATAGAAGTTCAAGAAGAGACACAGAGAGCAGAAACAAAGACCAAGAAAGACAGAGACAGTAACAGAGACAGAAACCATACCTGGAGGAAAATTACACACCCACTGAAAATATACGAATCCTAAATTGTGGCTGAGTCACGAGGTGCACGACTCCATATAATAGTCATATCCATAAAATCCATTCATTCTTAAAAGTCATATATGTGCATTCTCTGGAGCAATCAATAACAACTAAACGATGTTAACACTTCAGGAAACATCTATTTTCTATGCCTGACAACAATAATTCTAATGAATGCAAAATAATAAATAAAATGCTATCCATTGTTCCATGCTGCAGGGCTTCTGCAGCCAAACTGCCCTCCAGAATGTCTACGGAAGTTATGCCACACCAGGAGCTATTCTTTTTGTATCACATCAAGAGAGTTCTACAATATTGTTTTAAGCTTTTCATTGTTAAATATTCAATTTTATTCCAGTAATAGAACATCTCAAAACTGTGACACTGGAAAAATACTGTGACGTATGTTATTTTTTTTGAGCTTTTGGTCAGTGTCTGAGCATGATACTTTAATGGTTCATCTCCTATTGTCAAAACTTTTTCTTTTCACTGTTCACAGCAGTGCTTGGATTGAACCGAGGGCCTCACGTTGTGATAACCACACACTGTACCACTGAGTCACGCCACCATCCCCCTTCTTTGGATCTTAAGATTTTCTTACATTTATTTATTGCAACCTTTTAACCAGTATTGTTCACTCAAGTAAAAAAAAAAAAACTTTCCCATTTTTATAATATTTATAAATGATGAATAAACATGAAAACAAAGAAATATACTTTTCATGCTCTAGTAACTTAAGAATTTAGTTGTATAAGTCAAGGGACAGAAAACATTCTGAAACTGCACATTTAGATAAAATTAGCAAAAGGGCATGTCTTTTTAGCTAGTCCTAAGTGCCCAAGAGAGAGAATTAACTTTTCCCAGAGGATTCACTGATGCGAAGCCGCCACTTAACAGTGCAGTGTTTTCAGGGTGAAGCTCACAACGAGGAAGGGGAGAAGACACAAGGTGCTAGAGAGAGGATGAATATAACCAGGCAGGACGGGACCAGCTGAAAAAACAAACAGGAAGCTCAGGGAACATGAGAAGATCCAAAGGCTGCAGAAGACCGAGTCTACCCGAGCATAACGAGTGCAAAGTGGGAAACCCCCGCCATGAGTAATGAGGTAACCAAGCTGGGAACATAGAGAAAGAAAATTCAGGCAGAATAACAAGAGGAGAAAGACGAGGTCAAAGACAGAGGGCGGCCTTTGCTGCAGAAAGAACTCAGTAAATGGAAAGAGTGGCCACTGCACCCCCAGTTAGAGCATCGTGACCACCAACCAGCACGTCTTGTGGGTCCACCATAGCGCTGACCGCCACCACAAATCTCCCATGAATCAGGAACAATGTAGATACAGTTACTTTTTTAAAAGTGCTGCTATTTCTATGAAACAAATGTTATGTACTTAAGATTCAAGTTTAATTTAGGTAGTATATTCACTCAGTAAATTGTTTTTTTATAAAATAGATTTTTTTATAAAATAGATTAGTTAATTTAAAAATCAAATGGTAACTTATTTAAAACTAGTAAGCCAGAGTATTCCTTTCTCTGATTTCCTTAGGTTCTTGCTAAGTCCTCTTCGAGGTCTCTTAGACTCACGTGCATATTAGGATGTGAACTGCTGAATGTAGCGGGATGGGCAACTTTTTAGAAACAAGGGCCCAAACCGCAACCCAAACCCACGTATTTATCACAAAGTGCCAACGGGGCAGTTCAGCCGGAATACAGAGGTTCTAGTTTAGGAAAACAGCATGGTGACTTGGCTTGTGTGCCGATAGGTGACGTGGATTCTCCACGATGGGTACAGAGTAACACATACAGGCTTTAAAATAACAGCCATGATCATCATACGTTTCACACAACTACTTGTTCATAAAGTCTGGGAAACCAGCAGCTTGACTGAAAACAAAATGTAAAGATGCCATTTATTTGAAGGTGTCCAAATATTCTATTCTCTAGTTTTTAGTCATCAGAGTTGTGTTTTAAATTTTGAAAATGGAAAGTGGTGAATATAATTATCTCACTCATGTTACTCATAAAAGTTAGGATAGAATCTCTCTGACCAGTGCTTCCTATTTGAACATAAATTAAAATATCATCTTTTTGAACCTGAGGAAACATGAGAAGATACAAACACCCGAGACGACCGAGTCTGTCCAAGGATAATGAATACAAAGAGCAGAACCCTCACCATGAGTAATGAGGTCACAAAGTGGGGAAAAGAGAGAAAGGAAATAACATCAGCCAAAGGATAGTACCCAGTCACCCAAAGAGTGCTATAAACGAAGGTGTAAAGTGAGTCAGGCCCTCAGGACTGACATCACAGCTCCACTTTGGACGATTTCTTTAGCTTCTTGGTTCAGGTTCCTCATCTGTAAGACTAGGAGGGTCCTTGTAAAACCAGGCCGATAGCTAGTGCCAGGCTACTCACGGGCAAATCAGCAGTTGCACAGCAGCTCCTGTAGAGGACCAGAGTAACATCCTCTCCCACAGCGTATGGCTGCCGCCCAGCATCACAGAACAGGTTAACTAGAGAAGAGCACAGCACATTCATTTAATGTAAAGGTTAAGGCACAGGAACCTTCAGAAATGAAGACCAGAACACCGGAGCACTGTGCATTTCCAAGAACATCTGCGCAGAAGTGTCGCTGGGGCAGCAGGGAAAGATCTAATGGTAATAAGTCACAAGACATGGCAAGGCCTGATACTGGCATTCTTCTTCGTGCCTCTGTGTGACACTTCTCCCTGGATATTGAGCAAAATCTGTCACCTGAGCTCCCCAGGGAAGGTCTGAGAGTGACTTTTCTGCTTCTGCAGCTTTCTCTTGATCTCAGATTAGAATCCTCAGCATACCAAGGTCATGCATTGAGGGGTCCTGTTTTCTGAGCCTTGATGAGACCGTTACTGTCATTGTGAGGTTGTATTTACAAAATTTCTTTGGCTGCAGCTTGAAAACCCTGGACAGTCCCAAAGGCGTTCAATTTTTTTTTTAATTTTAAAGAAAATTTAAAAAGCAATAACAAAAATAACAACCACGCAGACAAAAACAAAACCAGGAAAACAATACAAATGATATAGGGTTTCAAAACCAAATGACAGGAATTAACAGTGGTTGTTATATTCCATATTGTTATCTTCAACAAAGTTGCTAAGATTACCAGATGTGAGAATGCAAGATTGATCAGATCATTAAAGAGAATAAAAAATAATAAGTAAAACCTTAGAAACAATACAGAGCTTCACTAAACAGGATGGTAGGAATTCACCAATGGTTGTTATATAGCATATTGTTGTGTTCTAATTAGTTGTTCAATTTTGACTCCATAGTTGAAAATGAAATGTGTGATTAGACCTACAGACCAGTATCTCCTCTTGAGTAATATTGATGTCCTAACATCCTAACTTTAGGAATTTGGAAGAGGCTGAGGATTTAGCTCAGTGGCACATCCCCTGCCTGGCAAGCACAAGGTCATGAGTTCGATTTCTGGTACCAGACAAAAACCAAAACCAAAAAAAAAGAACTTTGAGAAAGCCACTACTGGGCAATTTTTGCTAAAGAGCATTTTCTCTTTGTATTTCTTATTGTCCTATATCACCTGCAGTATCTAAGGCAATTTATTTTTTCATTAGAATAATTAATACTCTACGTACCTTTACTATTATAGGGAAAGAAAAAGTCTTTGTCTTCTCCTCATCACAGGTCCACTGCTGGAAATCTGCCAATTTCCAAACAAAGATGAATTTGCTTGTTTTCCTTCAAGAGCCAGGCAGGGACTGGAGGTAAAAGTCATGAACTGAGCCTACAGGAAACGCTGAGCCTCCTGTGGGTTGAGACATCACCCAGGACTGCACCACTGCCACCGGTGGAGAGGAGGGAGACAGAGGGGCTGGACTGGACTCCATATCAGACGTATAATGTTAATATCGTGTGATGTGCTAGATCACTGAAATATTTTGCATGTTAGATTGCTGAACTATTAATTGGCTGTAATAATATGTCACAGCGATTTATTAAAATAACTGGTATTACCTATGCCTGGCTCCTTGCACAAAGCGGACACTCGACAACTACCAGGCATTTATGGACACATCCCCTCATCCTCCTGGGCCTCTGTGACCACTCCAAGGCCTCGGTGTAAGCCACTGTGCCCTGGTTGCAGACCACCCCAATGCACCAGGGCAATGAGAGTCTGCCCCGGGACTTCCTCCTGCTGGGCTTCCCCGGGTCCCAGGCCCTACAGCTCTCTCTCTTTGTGCTGTTCCTGCTGATGTACCTCCTCACAGTGGGTGGAAATGCAGCCATCCTGCTGCTGGTGAGCAGCTCCCCGAAGCTCCACACTCCCATGTACTTCTTCCTGAGCAACCTCTCCTTCCTAGAGATCTGGTACACCACAGCTGCGGTCCCCAAAGCCCTGGCAGTCCTGCTGGGGAGGAGCCGGGCAATATCATTTGAGGGCTGTCTCTTGCAGATGTACCTGGTTTTCTCCTTGGGCTGCACGGAGTATTTCCTGCTGGCAGCCATGGCCTATGACCGCTACCTCGCCATCTGCTACCCTCTGCACTACAGGGCCATCATGAGCAGCCTGCTGTCTGTGCAGCTGGCTCTGGGCTCCTGGGTCTCTGGTTTCCTGGCCATTGCAGTGCCCACAGCCCTCATCAGCAGCCTGTCCTTCTGCGGCCCTCATGCCATCAACCACTTCTTCTGTGACATCGCACCCTGGATCGCCCTAGCCTGCAGCAGCACCCAGGCCGTGGAGCTTGTGGCCTTTGTGATTGCTTTTGTGGTCATCCTGAGCTCGTGCCTCATCACCCTGGTGTCCTACGTCTACATCATCAGCACCATCCTCAGGATCCCGTCTGCCAGCGGCCGCAGCAGAGCCTTCTCCACCTGCTCCTCCCACCTCACCGTGGTGCTCATCTGGTACGGATCCACCATCTTCCTCCACGTCCGCACCTCCATCACAGATGCCCTGGATCTGACCAAAGCGGTCCACGTCCTCAACACAGTGGTGACCCCGGTCCTGAACCCTTTCATCTACACACTCCGTAACAAGGAAGTGAGAGAGAGCCTGCTGAGGAAGTGGAGGGGGAAATAGAGCTCCCCAACACCGTGGAGTCTAGAAATGCTCCATTACCTGCCCGGATGCTGACAGGAAGACTGCCGAGGAGCAGAGCAAACCTTTGCTTCAGGGAGATGGGAAAAATGGGGAAAAACTCCTTGAAAACCAAAATCAAACCAACAAAACCTGGGCACACTGGCTCCATATTCTTACATAAAAAATGTTCAATATAAGCAAAGTAGACTTTTTAAGGAAAAAAATGGACATTGGTTTAGATGTGACTCTGACTTTCTTTTATGAAATTAGGAGCAAATAGTGAAAAATATGCTTTACTAAAACTCTCCATTTTTGTCACTTTTTAAGATTTTTTTAATCACCTAAGTGGATATTTTTAGAGCTACATTTGGAATATGAGAAAATGGGAGCAGTTGGGTAAAAGCATAACTGAGTCCTGCCATGCAGCTGTCCTCATAGGAGAGCTGTGGGCATGACTCCAGAGGAAGCAGAGCTGGCGGTTACTCTGGGCCGCACTTGCTTTGCAGGGAGAGGGAACCAGGGGATCCAAAGTGCAGATGAAGACACTCCGGGTTGTAGTGAGCTTGGGGAGCCTGTGGCTTATGTGCCCCAGCAGGATGGATGCTGGGCGCTGAGCCCCAGCGACCACTTAGACCTTGCTTGTGTGCGTGCTGGAACCTGCCCTGGTTCAGACGTGAAATGTGAAAGCATAAGATAAGCCGGTTACCTGTGTGAAGGAAGGAAAGCCATTTCACTGAGAGTGACACATACTCATTTTCAAAATGTCTGTTGTAAGTTTACATCTACAAGAATCATGGGCGGTATCCCTATAACAAAAGGATGGTTTAGCAAGAAAAAAGAATAAAATATTTGTTTCACCAAAATTGTAAGTGGCATGGTATGGCTTCCCTGGTATCTATGAAGGTCACATCTATGGCCCGGCTATTATCACCAGGCAGCCATAGCTGTGGAACTCAGATTGGTGCCAGGGCAGTCCAGGCACAAGGAGTGACAGTGACAGAGTCCCTGAGATGAAGGTCCAATGCTACATGGGGTTAAGAGAGAAGAACTGGGCTCCAGGTGACATGGGAGCCATGGAATCCACAGCCTGAATTATCAACTGGAGAATGAGCACACCCAGGCCAGTGTTGTACAGAGGTTTTCAGTCTGAACTTATATTACCTTTCAGGCTGAACTATATTATATTACTGTTATATCTTGGTTTTGCAAGAGTAAAACACATCATCATTTTACTCCATGTAGTGAAAGCCCCTACTTTGTGCTATAGAGGATAGGTCAGAAATAAAAGTAACAACCTGGGATTTGAGATTGGCATCTGACCTTAAAGCATTCTGCAAACCTGAGTCCTTACCTTGTAAGGTCTGAATAATTCCAAGCAGAGAAGTCAGAAGTACAGCAGCTCAGGAAACCTAGCTGTCCAGGGAACAGGAGAAAACCCGTGCCATATCAGGGGGAGGTTAATTTGGTTAACTTTGTCATTCTACATTGGGTGTGTTTATCAAAACATCACATTTAAACCCAAAATTCTGCACAGTGTTAATCAAAAAAGCGTTGATAGTAGTAAGAACAGTGGGAATCAGGACCCAGTTTGAGCAGCACCTGCAGCCCTGAACTAAAATAATCTGAGTCAGAGCGTATAAAGCAGCTATGGGAATAAAGCCACAGTATAAAATGACTGCCCCTGAGTGTACATGGATGTGAATAAATGATTGAATGCATAAATCAAGGATACAAATCCACACAAGAGTATTCCTAGTAATTCACGTAACTACTCTGACTTCAGGATACCAAGCACAGCTCCCTCACCTGCGAGACGTACACATAGCACTTTCTGTGCCCAAGCACAGCATGGAAGCTGAGGAGAGGAGCCCCGGCAGGAAGCTGAGGGCACTGCCCAAGAGCAGTCCAGGCAGGGTCACCCCCGTGCTTGCTGCCCTGAGTCCAAGCCATTGCATACGATGTGACGAAAGGGTGAGTCTATCTGTGAGCTTTTCCCCTCCAGAACACATGACCCTCAGGCCAGTCCTTGGGAAATTACCCAACAAATCGCATTGGTAAATCATCACAGCCTAGAGGACATTAAGGGGACATAATAACAACATATGAAGTGCTATTCAGGAAAAGAAGGTGGTAAAAGCTAAGGAAAGTTTAAAAAGACTTCACCTAGTTTAATAATTCATTTTGTGTTGTTTTCCTAGTGTTGGGAATCAAAGCCAGAGCTTCATACATGTGAGGTAAGAATTTTACCACTAAGGGGTGCTGGGGATTTAGCTCAGCGGCAAAAGCGCCTGCCTGGCAAGTGCAAGGTCGTGAGTTCAGTTCCTGGTACCGGAGAAAAACCAAAAAACAAAAAAAAAAAAAAAAAAAAAAATAAAAAAAAAAAAAAAAAAAAAAAAAAAAAAAAAAAAGAATTTTACCACTAAGCTACATGCTTATCCTCTGGGCTTCTTTATTTAATAATAACATATAGTAATGTTGACTCATTAATTTCAATAAATGTACCACACTAATAACAATATCACTAGTAGAAAAAATAAAGATAAGGTCAACAGGAATTCTCAAATTCCAATATTTCTGTAGTCAAAATTTCTTTTGTCAGTTGTTCTTTAAATGAAAAGGTAGGTATCCAGAACCTGCAAAGATTTTTATTTTTGGCTCATTGAAGTCCTCTTCCCCAAAATTAAACTGTTTGGTTACAAAACATATTGTTTGCCAAGTTTTATTATACTGTATGAGATTAGTGCTTTTCCTACTAATCTATTTGTTAATACATGTTTTGATATGCTTATGATTCAATCAAATTTTTATTTGATGAATGCAAATAGTGAGTAGATTTCTCAGTGTTTCTGTCCAATCAAAAACTTTCTGCATTTCCTGGCAGTAGAATATTTCATTGTTAGTATAATTAATGCAGTGTGTTTTTGCAGTCCAGTTTTTTAAAACCTTCCCTAATTAAAAGTATGAAATTTCACCCATTCTATTAAAGATGGATTGTTGTACTTTTACTTATTTTTAAGTCAATTTTTAAAATCAAATTCACAACAACCAGGTGAATGCCAGTGAAGAGAGGGGCAGCTGGAGTTCTGTTAGGAAGCTCCGAAGCGTGTTCACTTACTTGGATGTCACTGCAGGCAGAAAGCCCACACCCCTGGAGGAAGGTGTGGCCCTTCTTCTGCAAGGGTGGAGTTAGTGCAAACTGCTAGGGTTGGAGCTGTGTGCCATGAAGGTGCTTACAGAAACCTCCAAAGTGCAGGGGCAGTAAATGACACGTGAGTAGGGAGCTCCAAAGGCTGAGCTGTGTGGATAGAAACACAGTTAAGGGAGATGAGAACTTTGAATCCCGGCTGCATATTCCCGTGCATCTAGAGGTTATCTCCAATCAGTGTTTGGAAACAAACTCTAAAAATAAGCAACAGAACCCAACTATTGCTCCTCAGGGTGGTGTTTGCGCTCTGCAGAATCAGGAGGCAGGAAGTAAGATGTTTTATAGCTTGTCTGAGTAAACACGGAAGAGCTACTCCAGCTTAAATCCAAGCTTCAAAGAAAGGGAAAATATTTTTCTTTCCTTTTTTCCCTATTTGGATGCATGGACTTAATATTGTTAAATCACTAGCCAACTGCTGAGATCACTGATTGCATCTTTATTGACCACACATAAGCACTACAGTCACTGCAACAATAGCTCGCAAACCACCAAATAAATGGAAACTGATGTCCCACAGCAAGGGATGAGAGCAAACCCTGGAAAAAACAAGGCTCTAACTTCTTCAGCTGACATGCTGTACTATAAAAATGTTTCATTTTCAACCAAATTACCAGGCACAGCAAGAAGCAGGAAAGCATGACTTATTTTTAGGAAAGAAAGATATCACAGAAATTATCATGAGGAAGCCCAAATACTTGACTGCTGCGCAAAGACTTTAAATTAACTGTCTTAAATATGTAAAAGAACTGAAGCAAGCAGAGGGCAAAAATCTAAAAGCAGATTGTAGAACTGCAAAGTAAAAGAGCTGAAATAAAATTTTGCTAAAAATGATTCAATAGTAGAAGTACACAGTTAGGTTAAAATAATAATAAACTTAAAGACAGGTCATTTAAAGCCACCCAGGCTAAGATTACAGAGAAAGAAAATATACAGACATGAACAGTTCTTAAGAGAACTTGGAAACACTGTGAAGAATGTGCAGTCACAGACATAGTGAAGTCCAGGGCAGAGAAGAGAGAGATAGGGGTAGAAAGAATATGTGAGGGCAGAATCACTAAAAATGTTACAGTTTTGTGATAAATACATGAATTGAAGAACCTCAAAACACTTCATACAGGACAAACTCAGGAAGATACACATGGGGACACCTAATAATAAAATTATCAAAATCCCAAGGCCAAGCAATAAAGAAGAGGTAATGTGATGTTCACAAGATCCACACCAACATCTCCATGTGCTCTCCAAACAGCATGGAATGAAATTCAGACTTGACAGCATGAAATCTGGAGAATTCAGAACTAGCCCAGCATTAAACAATGCATTCTCTTTTTCCAGGTAGTAATTTTTAATATTGTTCCCCTTTTCTCAAGACTTCTCTCCTTCCATGATCCTCACCTCACTTTAAGCCTAAACTTGGGGAACTCAAGTAGCTAAGTAAACAGTGGGCACAGAGTTGGAAAGGTCACAGCCTCCGCTAGTGCAGCTCCGGGACAAGGCCCCTTCCAGAGAGGTGCTGAGGCTGACCCAGGGGGAAGACAAGAGCCCCTGAGTGCAAAAGGCTCAGGAATGCTCAAGGGTCGTCCCTCAGTGAGGGATCAAAACAGAGAGAGCAGAATCATTTCTTGTCATGTGCCTGCTGAGATTTTCCTCATTAAAGTTGGAAAGGTTAAACAACATATTCTTTTCAACTGGTGAATCACAACCAAAAAGAGAATTGCAGGCCAATCTCCCTAATGAACATAAATGCAAAGATACTCCATAAACTATTAGCAAACAGAATTAAGCAAATCATCAA